GATGATGGTGGTAATGATGATCAGGATGATGATGCTGCTGATAATGAATAAGTGTATGAGGATGAGGACGAGAATGATGAGGATGATGAGGATGATGATTAGGATGATGTTGCTGAGGATGATGGTGCTGATATGATGATGACCGTGACGACGATGATTCTGGTGATGCTGATGTTGCTGCTGCTGATGAGAATGATGATGATGACGATGGTGCCGATGATGGTGATGAGTATGATGGAGGTGATGATGATGATGATGATGACGATACGGACGAACAGGATGATGATGATTCTGATGCTGATGCTCATATTGATGCTGATGCTGATGCTGATGCTGCTAATGATGAAGGTGATGATGCTGGCGATGCTGATGTTGATCATGGTGATGCTGATGCTGATGATGATGATGATGATGGTGATGGTGATGATTCTGATGGGGGTGGTGGTCATGGTGATGATACGTTTGCTGCTGCTCAAGTGAAGATGATGATTTTGTTCTTGTTATTGATGACGATAGTGATGATTGCGGTGGTGGTGATGACGATGAAATGGTGATGCTTATATTGATGATGGTGATGCTGATGCCGATTTTGCTGCTACTGATGCTGATGATTACAATGTTGGTCATGAATGTTGGCGACGATGTTGATGACAACGCCGTTGGCTATGATGCGGGTGACGATGATGAAGGTGATGATAAGTATGCTGGTGGTGATGATGATGGTGGTGGTGTAAGTGGTGCTTGTAATGATGATGCTGTTGATGATGATGATGATGATGATGATGATGATGATGACGATACTGATGATGATCATGATGATGATGGTGCTGTCGGTGATGATACTGATGATGAACATGAGATGGTGGTAATGGCGAGGATGATGGTGATGGTGATGCTGATGCTGATGCTGATGCTGATTGTGGTGGTGTTGGTGATGGAGATGCTGTTGATGCTGCTGATGATGCTGCTGGTGATGATGATGATGATGATCATTATGAGGTGGAGGAGGAGTGGGAGGAGGAGGCGTGAGGGCCGATGATCGAGGAGTGCCGAGTGCGCAGTGGAAAGGAACTAAGCGTGTGCAGGAGACTGGCGCCAGCATCGCCCCGTCGCGAGCCGCGCCTCCTCGCCGCTCCCGCCGTCCGCCGCGGTCGCCGCGCCCCGCAGGGCTCCGCGCGCGGCGCGGGGACTCCCCCTCCTCTCGCCGCCCCCGCCCTCACCCTCGCCTCCCTGGCCTCATTTCAGGAAGGAGGGAGGGAGGAAACAAGTGATGGGAGCCTTGCTGCCCTCGATATTCCGTCTCCAGATGACACCATGCAGAGCCTGCTGGCGTCTGGCAATCGAGGAGAGCGAGCCGATCCAGCGTCGATTGGCGTCGATTCCAACCCCTCACCTCACGCCAGCAGGGATGGAGGGAGGGAGTGAGGGACTGCGGCCGGGAACGTTTGGATAGCGAGTGGCTCCGCCTGCTCTGGCCCACCGCGCTTCGGCGCGACATCCACTTCTGGTCCCCAGGCGTCGACGTCCCGAGCATGCTGCAGGCCTCCCGCCCCGCGGAGCGGAGCGGCGCGCCACCATGTCGCAAGGGAGATGGCGTGTCGCCGCGGCCTCCTCGGGGGCGCGGCGACCATGGCGCGGGGGCCCCTCTCCCCGGGGGCGGCGCGCAGGCGCAACGATTTCGAGCATTTTGCTTACTGCGTGTGTATGCTCGCGTACTTGCGGGTTTTTACTGCAGGTGCATTGCCTGTCGTAGCTAATTAGCTTCGCCTGCTGGCCCAGACGACGCCTACCGCTCCCTGTCCGCCGCCTCGGAGCCGCCGACCAAAATAGGCGCAACGACAGTCGCGCAACGCGGGATGCGCGAACAGAAAAGACCCCAACCCTCATGACTAGCACGATGAAGACGTTGCCTCACTGAGGTCCCCGTCTTCGCACTAGGGATCATAGACCTGGGCGGTTTGGTCCGACTCATCTGCAGAAAACGACCCCCTATCCCGAATGTTTCTTGGCCTTATTGACTTAGGTCTCCTCCCAAAGGATGGGCCCTCTTGTCCCCACACCCAAAGTGGGTTCTTGATTTCTCTGGACACCCCGCGCAGGAACAAGAGAATCCACCCTCTCCCGTTCTCTAATCCCCACACTCAGTCACTTAATCACTCTCACGCACATCATCATTCACACTCACCCACCCACTCACCCACACACGCACTTTTTCACCCACGCACGCACCCATACACACACAGCCACCATCCTCACTCACTCACGCGCCCACTCACCCACTCACCCACAGACTCACCCACCTACCCGCCCACTCAGCCATTCACTCACACTCATCAGCATCATCCTCATCATCATCATCACCATCGTCATCATCAAAGGCCGCCGCGAGCTCAGGCCTTGATGGCGCAGCGGCCTATGGGACGCGCCCGTGCATGTCCGAGACTTCGGACAGGGGGCCCAGCGATGGCGGCACTGCTCGGTCATGCCACAGGTGTGCTCCAGACGGAGCGCGAACCATGGCTGACAGGCATGCGTGCGGAGTGACGAAGAAACATCAGACGAAGGAGCCGCACGCCGCCATCTACCCACAACCGCCGCTGAAACCCTTGATGCGCTTTTGGTGGAGGCGTTCGAACATGGCCAGGAATACTCTCCCAGAAAAGTTGACCAGATCCCGTGGCCTGAAGACATCGAACCATTGCGTCCGCGTCCCTCCACAGGCGCAGCGGCACCAGCTGTACCACCAGAAGTTGCACCACCGCCAGCCGACGCTGCACACGATCTACAGGACCAGCCACAGCCATCATCCCCCACAAAGCTCGACCCGATTGCTCATACGTGTGCCGTCAAGCTCGTGTCCACCGTCGGCTGGGAACCCTTCGCGCTCAAGGGCTTGCCTGGCAGGATCGACGACATTAGCGACACCATCCGCCGATGCCAGGCCGTCATGCTCGTGGGCACCAAGATCCGGCAACCTACTCCAGACACACCGCATCATTCAGAAACGTCAGTTGCCCATCATTGGATGCATTTTGGTTGGACACGCGGTGCACACACTAACTCATCAGCGGGCTGCAGCATCGGCCTTTCGAATAAACAGTTCCGCAAGCAGGATGTACGCAGAGTCATGCACCCAGGGCCAGAGTTACGTGGACGCGGGGGGCTCGTCGAGGTCCACCGCGGTGCGCTACGCATTCGGTATATCGTTGCTTATTTTGCGCCTCGACCATCAGGTGGACCAGCCAAGAGACGGCCATGGAAGGACTGATGCATGAGATTAAGGTCTTGGCTATGGAAGCAGTTACTGAGTGTCCATCGCGAAGCACCCCCATCGTTTTCACAGATCTTAACCAGAGTTTGGGTGGGCAAGCTAAACAGATCATCGACGACGCCGCCGTGGGACCATTTCAAGCTGGCAGCGAGGGCGAGTTCGGACGCCACGCACACAACCGGTTGCTGTATCACGACCTCTCGGCACTCAACTCCCACGTGGACGTCAGTTACACATATTACGGCCCCCAGAAGTCCCGATCTCGCATTGACTAGTTTATTGGACACCACAATTTAAATGATATCACCCGCAGCATGCGATTGGACTGGAGGGCGCATCGGCGAGTGCGTGGATGGATGCATGTACCTGGCCATGTTCCGATGGTGATGCGCGTTCGTATGCCGACGAACAGCACGAACCCTCTAGACTCACGTGCGACTTGGGAAGGGGAGCTCTAGCTGCGGGATTGCAGACTGGATATAAACTTGAGGAGTTTTTTGACAGAATTGGCATCGGACTGAGACAAATATCAAGACGCATCTTGAGCGGCCAAGTTGGATCAGTTGCCTACGAGGCACGCAGCGATACTCACACATTTGACCCGTGCGACGGCAGCTAAACATTATTCTCGAGAAGGCCTCATACCGCACTGGCATAAGCAAACTCACAGAGACTGCCTTCAGCTACTACGGTGACGCGCAGGGGCGCGTGGACGTGGACGCACACATGACTCACGAGTGCTACGCGATGTGAAGCCTGGCTTCGAGACCGTCAACAGTGGATGAATCGCTGGTGGCAGGTTCCTCCGGAAGGGGATATCCGCCACGCATGGCATCTCGTGACTTATCGAGGCTATCACATTTGACATATCTCCGCGCTGGGCGACGTGCGGGGCCTCGCCGACGATCAGATTTATCCCTTCCCACCACGCGACCGTCAGCGAGCGAGTACGAGCAGGCATTGGGGGCGCATGCAGACGATGGTGGAACGACTGCTACCAAGGCATACGCAAGTCTCTATATTGAAGACACGACAGCAGTCCCGCGGATGTTGGCACCGATGGGCACAATGCAACCTGTGTGGGACTACGTCGGCGCCCCGGCCATCGAGGATCTCGAGGAAGCGAGTACCGAACTACAGATGACACAGAAGCGCCTTTGGCGCGAGAAGAGACGCAGGTACTATCTGCACAGGGCCTGGCCTACTGAACTGACGATCGCGATGCTGACGCCGAAGTATCTCACTGGACCTGGACCAGATCGCGCGGGCATCGGAGCAGGCGAAAATCGACGGATTCAGATTCAGCCCTTAGACACAAAGCTTCCTCGACCCGATTGGCGGCAGCGCCGTCAAGGGCCTCTTTCGCGGGGGGAGGTGCAGTTGGGCCCGATAGCTCGCTGGCGACAGCGAGCCCTCGTAACGAAGAGACAGGCAACCGGCTACCAATTATCCTTAGCTGGATTCAGAAGCCGACACTGTAGCGATGCAGTGGGCTCGCGTAGTACAGTCGACCCAGCTGGGATCCGAGGCTGGTTCGTCGGTTCGTTCGTTCCTATTTTTCCTTGTCCTTTTCCTTTTGCTCTCCCCCTTTCACCTCCTATTCCTTTTCCTTTCGTTCTCCTCTTCCCCCCCTCCTTCCTGTATATATCCTTCCCCCCCCTGGCCGACCCAGCGCCGCGGCGGGCCGCGGGGCCGCCATGTGCCGCCGCCGGCCGCCCGCGCCCCCCGC